TGTGGGGGCTCACCCCGACTACAACGAGGAGGAGGAGGAGCAGAAATACTTCCGCCGCAAGCGCCTCGGCGTGGTCAAGAACGTCCTGGCTGCCAGCCTGGCTGGCATGCTCACCTATGGCGTCTACCTGGGTACAGTCCTGTCCCTCCCAGGAGACCCCCGCTGTGGTGTGAGGGGGCTCAGGCTGGGGGGAGTGACAGCCACTGCCCCCCTCCCCAGGCCTCCTGCAGATGCAGCTGATCCTGCACTATGATGAGACCTACCGGGAGGTGAAATACAGCAACATCCAACTGGAAGACATTGACCACAAGGTGCTGATGGGCATCAACATCACCCCTGTCACAGCACTGCTCTACACACCCGTCCTCATCAGGTAACAGCGCTGCCTGCGCTCCCCGCCGGCACACTGGGCACGGGCGCCCACGCTTGTCCTTCCTCGCCCTGGCAGGTTTTTCGGCACCAAGTGGGCCATGTTCCTCGCAGTGGGGATCTATTCCCTCTTCGTCTCCAGCAACTACTGGGAGCGTTACTACACGCTGGTGCCTTCTGCCGTGGCCATCGGGGTGGCCATCGTGCCCCTCTGGGCTTCCATGGGCAACTACATCACACGGTAGGCAATGGAGGGGGGTGAGCGGCGGGGGCAGGGGGCACACGCTGACCCTCCATGCCACGCAGGATGGCCCAGAAGTACTACGAGTACGTCAACTACAAGGAGGACCAAGTGCAGGAGCAGCAGCGGGCGCCACGGGGTGCCTGCAACACCTACATCATCATCTTCCAAACCGTCTTCTACGTCTGCTTCCATGTGAGTGCCAGCATGGCATGGGCAGGGGGCCGCGCTGGGCAGCCCGGCGCTGAGCATCTCCCGCTGTGTGTCTTGCAGCTCAGCTTCGTCTGCGCTCAGATGCCCACGCTCTTCTTCCTCAACAACTACCTCTACCAACTCAACCACACGCTCTACGCGGTCAAGCACTGCGGTAAGCATGCGGGACGGCACGGTGGCATGGGGATCTCCCCAGCTGGGGCTGAGCTGTGGCGTGTGCTTTCCCTGGCAGGGACCCTGAGCCACGGTACGCTGCCCGGCTTCAACAAGACGGTGCTGCAGAGCCTGCCTCGCAGCGTCAACCTCATCATTGTAGAGAGTGCCTTGATGGCAGCCGCCTTCCTCGCCATGCTGGTGGTGAGTGCCCGGGCGGGCAGGGGACAAGCCGTGACACTGGTGGTGCCTCACCTACCGCCACGCGGCAGGTCCTGGTGCTCTGCGGCTCAGCGTATCGGCCCACGGAGGAGATCGACCTGCGCAGCATCGGCTGGGGAAACATTTTCCAGCTGCCCTTCAAGCACATGCGGGACTACCGCCTACGCCACCTCTTCCCCTTGTTCACCTACAGTGGCTTCGAGGTGCTCTTCGTCTGCACTGGCTTCTCCTTGGTAGGGTCCAGGGACAGGGCAGGGGGTGACAGATGGGGGACAGCCCCCACCTGGGTGATGCTGAGCATGTTCTCACTGCAGAACTACGGCGTGTGCGCCTTGGGGCTGGAGAAGCTGGCGTATCTCCTCATGGCCTACGGCTTCTCCGCCTCGGCCTGCTCCAGCCTGGCCCTCTGCGTGTTGCACGTGCGGCGGCAGGTCCCGCTGCTGGCCGGAGCCATCATCCATGCTGCTCTCCTGGTCACTCTCTTTTGCTGGGCACCTGAACCCCGGCACCTGGTCCAGGCACCTCTGCTCTATGCAATAGCTGTGCTCTGGGGCACAGGCAGCGCCCTCAACAAGACTAGCATTAGCAGTGAGTACCAGGAAGGTCCCTTGCAGTCTTTCTTGTCCCCCAGCATGACCAGGTTGTCCCTAGATCCCCAACACGTCCTCTTCTTATGTCCCCTACCACCACAACCTGGTGGTCCCCCACTCCTTGGGCCCACTGACAAGGAGCAGGACAGACCCACAGCACTTGGGTCCTGCTCACAGTGCCCCAAGAGGGGACACTGGGACGGGAGGGAGATGCTGACAGCAGGTCCTGTCTGACACAGTCCTCCTGGGCATGCTGTATGAGGATAAGGGACGCCAAGACTTCATCTTCACCATCTACCACTGGTGGCAGGCTCTGGCAATCTTCACCGTCTACCTGTGGTCAGGGTTGCCCATGAAGGTGAGCATGGCCAGGTGGGCAGCCGTCTTCACAGTGCTTCCCAACTGGCTCCATCACATCTGGAGTCCGCTGAGCTCAGAGAGCGATGCAGTGCTACGCTGATCCCCCGCTTTGCCCTCTCACAGGCCAAGCTCTCCATCATGCTGCTGACGCTGGCGGTGGCAGTGGGGGCCTACCTGTGGATGGAGCACAAGTTGGCACATCACGTGGCCTACCGTCTGCCCCGCATCCCCCGGCCACGCCACAAGATGCGAGGCTACCGCTACTTGGAAGAGGATGACTCTGACGAAACTGGCTCCGAGGGCGATGGTGGCAAGGACGACAACAATGAACACCCAGCAGAGGCCACCAGCAGGGACGAGCTGCCAAAAAATGATGAGAACCAGCTGGGTTAGAGACAGCCTGTCCTGGCTCACCTCCATGGTGGACTCCCCACTCTCTGTACCTGATGGGGAGTCTACAACCCTTCCTGGAGCTGCCCAAACCTCTCCCCCGTGGGTCCAAACTTCCACAGGACCCCCTCAGGTCAGGCTTGCAGTCCCTCCAAGCAGGCCTGCAAACCCCCTGGGCAGGCCCACAGCCCCTCAGGCAACCCCCACAGCCCC